TAACTAATATTTATTTAGGAATCAAAGTTTAGTTTCGCATTAGTTAATACAGATAATATCTTAAGAGGACTATCAAAGAATAATAGCTAGCTGGTTCAATCTCTCTTTACATGGTTACAAAAAATAAAATAAGATTTTGTGGTCACTGTATAGAACATTGATTATGCTGCCAAAAACATCATTTATCCTGTTGCGTTATAGCGATTGAGAGCGATTACATTCAGGATGGGTTGAAGACAAGTCAAGATGTTTAATTTAAATTCATTGCGATATAGATCACAAAAAGTAGTTCTCATCCAATATTGATGACAAGAACGGCCTTAGTCAGCGATCCTAGAGGAATTCAGAAACAGGTTTTCATCTAAATACGCATGTCCAAGGTTGTTTTATCGATGGTAGAGCTGATGAGACAACCTTGGATTATAACGGCCTTTTGAGATAAAAGCAACACAGAAATTCTAAGAATAATCAAGCCTTTTTTAAATTCAACCTAAGTATAATGGACGTCAAGCCCTTTAACGCAAACGAATGGATGCCTAGTGTATCTTAAGGACCATCAGATTACTGACAGTCAGGGACACCTGAATACTTCATTGGTTTTTCATGTTTCCAAATTATTGTCAATTTTAGTAAAATCAAATTCAGCAGTACCTATAATAGTATGGCCTAAAATTAGTACTCAATCAAAAAATGCCATTTCAGCATATTTATTATCTGAGCTTCCAATGCCTAAAATGTAAAATATGGTAGACATAATTCAATATATACAAGTCGTGAAGCCATAATTACAGCTGATTTTTCGTCCTTGAACCGTTCAATAAACCAGTTGAGTAGGAACACTTTCACAACGGCTTGAACTGGTGCAACAATAGAATTGATAGACATTGATGTCCCATTTGTGCCAACACAGTTAGCCAGGGTAGAACTAGTAGAATTAGCAGCAAGAGAAATGGATAAAGGCCATTGGCCGGGAGTTCCTGGACCAAGGCCATCACCACCGGCACGGCGAACGGCGTTGGCCATCCGCACAAGCAGAACAAGGGCTAAGTCAATAGCTTGGTGCGTTGAAGGCAGCTGCTGGGGGGAGAGGGGGGGCGAAGGGGGCTGATGGATTTCCTGTTGATACCCAGAACTCAATGAAAAGAGGAGGCAGGGGCCTGGTTGCGGCTCGGGTGGCAGGAGAATCGCGACGGCCTGTGAAGCCGACTGGCAAGTGCCAAGCAGTAACGGTAATACAGCTGTTGAATACGTGGCTGGGAAAGTTTGGGCAGTTCCAACACCACCACATGAGGTGATTCTGCTACCACTACTAGTGCAGATACCAGCGCAGCTACTGCTTGAGCAACTTACAGAAGTGCCTATATTAAAGGCTTCAGGGTTAACTTCACAAGATTGTTTCGGCAAAATGCAACCAGTTGGGTTGACAGCCGTCACACCACTGCTCAGCCCATTGCCGAATAGACTGGCTAATAATTCAATAAATCGGGTCAGGCTATTGGGTACATTGACGATATCAACAGGAGAAAATGAAGTAGAATCAGAGCCTGGCCGAGAGCCAGCCGAGAATAAATTGGCTGCATGTGTAAGGCAGCTGGCCAAGAAGAGACTTCGTAAGTGATCTAGTCGTCTGGAGGAATTCTATAAGAGGAAACAGACAATTGGACAGAATAAATGTAAAATAGTAAATAGGACAGTAGAGCATGGAAAGTAGTCAGATAACGGTAATTTGATAGCCAGTAGAGTAAAGCATTTAAAACGAGCCCCTCAGAAAGTTGAAAAATGCAAAATAAAGATAGATCTGAACATATTTAAAGAATGCCTAAAGAAAATAAGGGGCTCTTTAAGGT